CCCATATGGGATCCCGGGCGTGCAAGGCGAGGACCTTTAACCACTTGCGCCACCGCGCCGGGCCCTATTCTTTCTTTTTAAATGATTTATTTTATTTTGAGGGGAATGGCAGAGAGACAGATAGAGTGGGCTGCCATGTGCTGGCTTACCGAGAACGCAAGGCAGGAGTTGGGTCTTCAGTCCAGCTGGATACTTAGTTTCCTAGGTGGATGGCAATAGCCCAACTACTTGAGCCCTTGGGGCTGCCTCTAAAGTCCACATCAGCAAGAAGCTGAAGCCAGGAGCCAGAGTTGGGAATTGAACCCAGACACTCTGGTGGGACACAGGCATCCTAACCCCGGTGTATACCACCAGACCAAACACCTGCCCTGGAGGGCGTTTTCTGAGCCAGGTGTCAGCCCTAGAGCCCCGGGAGTGAGGAGTGGCCCTAGCTGTGATCTCTACAGCCCAGAGCCTGAATGAAGCCACCTGCTCAGAGTGAGGGAGGGGAGGGAGGGTGGGTGTGGTGGTGGTGGTATTGGGGGGTGTGGGAGGGAGTGGGCCAGTGGGGTGGGGATTGGAGTTGGATGGAGTGGGGGAATGGGAGGAGATGGTGGGGATTATCTGCCAGCAGCTTACTGCAGTGGCCTTGCTCTCAACCTAAAAGGGCAATACAGTCCTGCCTTGGGGAACCCCAAATCTTATTTGGAGCAACGCAGGCCAGCACTCAGAGACCACAGACTGGATCCTATCCTTCAGTCTGATGGAATCGCATGTCGTTCCTCAGGCGCTCCTGTGCGGAGACAGCCCTGCTCTCAAGAGCTGTAGACCTGGGGGTGGATGATAGGAAAACAGAGTGGCTGGAGGCAGGAGGAAAAACCAGGCCAGCCTGCAGTCTGACCAGCCCTTTGTAGTTTACAAATGACATTCCTGGCAATTATCACATGCAACAATGAAGATAATCATCACCAAGGGTTTAAGAACTGTTATCGCAAATTCACAATAACTACACTCATCAGATAAGGTTTTCTGAAATATTTTCTACTCCCCATGACCAGGGGCGTGCATTTCTCTTCTGTTCAGAGGCCTTAGAATGAAAGTGCAAGTGGGGATGGGGCTGGCAGTCAGTTGGGAGCTCAGGGCTTGGGGTTCAGAACTAGGATTTGAGTCACAGAGCCAGCACTGGGCGCCTTTCTGGTTTCTCAATGCGTCATGCACCTTCACATCTCCAAGCTTTTGCCTCTTCCCCTTGCCTTTCCCTTAACCTATGTGCTTGGCACACTCCTGCTCATTCCAGTCCACACCCCTGAGTGAGCTCTGAGCACGTGCCGTTGTAATCACCAGATAATGTTCAAATGCAGAGGGAAGCAGAAGTCAATAGGAAAGACTGTTCACCTAGGGGACTTTCTGGGCAACATTTATTACCTTGGGGAATTCATCAGAGTCCAAGATCAGGCCTTGGTTTCTCAGAAAGGAATCATATCAAACGAGTGCCCGGGAGAGATTAATAAAGTCAGAATGCCAGTTCAAGGACAGAGCGCTAAAATGAAATGGGTAAGGGATAGGCTCCAATTCATCCACTTGGATCTGAATCCTGAGCCTACCCTTCCAGCTGCGAGATCTGAGCTCCACATCCTCCTCCCCACACCCCTAACAAGGATAAAAAACAGTGTTTCTATCAAAGGAGGCATTGAAAGGATAAAGTAAAAATTTTTGTAAAGTATTCAGAATAGTACTAGGGACCCAATAAGAAGTCAATACTTTTTTTTTGATAAAAGATTTTTTCTATTGACTTATTTCAAAGCAGAGAGATTGAGGGTGTGAAAAACAGAGGTTGTGATTTTCTATTTCTTGTACCCCAAAATACTGGGGATAACTGGGGTGAACCAGGTTGAAGGCAGGAGTCAGGGAATCTATCTGTGTCTCCTACTTGGGTGGCAAGAACCCAAGGATTCGGCCATCATCTGCTGCCTTCCAAAGTGCATTAGTAGGAAGCCTGATCAGATTTGGAGTAGCTGGAACACAAACCAGCATTCTCCTATGGGATGCAGTCATTTTGAGCAGTGACTTAACCCACTGCACTACACACATACCACAGAAGTCAACACATCTGATAAATATTTATTGGTAAGTAATCCAGTGAAACTCAACTACATCACACAAAGGGCATCTGTTCATTTGAAGAAATTATTTTTTAGTTTTTTAAAGACTTATTTTATAATGATACACTTACTTCAATTTGAAAGGCAGATTCAACAGAAAGAAGGAGAAACAGAGAGAGGCCTTCCATCCACTGGTTTACTTCCCAGATGGCTGCCAACAGCCAGAGCTGATCTGATCTGAAGCTGTTCATATGGGAACTAGTTTGAGTCCAGGCTGCTCCACTTCCAATCCAGCTTCCTGATAATGACCTGAGAAAGCATCGGAGGATGGCCCAAGTCCTTGTGCCCATGCACCCATGTGGGAGACCTGGAGGAGGCTCTTAGATTCAGACTAATCCAACTCTGGCCATTTTGGCCACTTCAGTAGTGAGCCAGCAGATGGAAGATCTCTCTCTTCTCTGTAATGCTTCATTCCAAATAAAAGTGAAAGGGCCTGGTATGATAACTCAATTGGTAAATCCTCACCTTGCAAGCACAGGATCCCATATGAGTGCTGACTCATGTCCTGGTTGCTCCACTTGCCATCCAGCTCTCTGCTTGTGGAGAATGGCCCAAAGCTAAGGGATCTTGCATCCATGTGGGAGACCAGGAAAAGGCTCCTGGCTCCTGTCTTTGGAACATCTCCGTACTGGCTGTTGCAGTCATTTTGGGGAATGAATTACTGAATGTTTTACAAAGCATCTCTCTGTCTCTCCTTCCATCTACAAATCTGCCTTTCCAATAAAACAAAATAGATAAATCTTAAAAGAAAAAAAAAAATCAGGGCCAATGCAGTGGTTACAGGTTAATTCTCCACCATGAGGTGCTGGCATTCCATATGGACATTGGTTTGTGTCCTGGCTGCACCACTTCTGATTCAGCTCTCTGCTTATGGTCTGGGAAAACAGCAGAGGCCCAAAGGCTTGGGATCCTGCACCCATATGAGAGACCCAGAAGAAGCTCCTAGCTCCTGGCTTCAGATCGGCTCAGCACTGACCACTGTAGTCACTAGAGCAGTGAACCAGTACATGGAAGATCTTTCTTTCTGTCTCTCCTTTTCTTTGTAAATCTGATCTGCCTTTCAAAAAACAAATCTTTAGGGCCCGGCGCCGTGGCCTAGCGGCTTAAGTCCTTGCCTTGAACGCCCCAGGATCCCATATGGAACCAGTTCTGGTCTCGGCATCTCCACCTCCCATCCAGCTCCCAGCTGTGGCCTGGGAAAGCAGTCAAGGATGGCCCAAAGCCTTGGGACCCTGCACCCATGTGGGATACCCAGAAGAAGTTCCTGGATCCTGGCTTCGGATGGGCATAGCATCAGCCATTGCGCTCACTTGGGGAGTGAATCAGTGGCTGGAAGATCTTCCTTTCTGTCTCTCCTCCTCTCTGTATATCTGACTTTCCAATAAAAATAAATAAATCTTTAAAAAAAATAAATCTTTAACCATAAAAAACAAAACACCCCTCCCCAAAGAAAGTGGTGACAGTCAAGCTAGACGCCCCCCCCCCTCCAAATATTCTGATGTGTCTAAACTTGACCTTTGCCATGATCTTAAGTTCTATGGGAGTTTCTTGCAAGGGTGACATACTGGAATGGGATCTTGCTTCTGTCTACCAGAGCCTGTGAAAGTTTCATCCTGTTTGACACAGGCCTGCCGGATAATGAGAGGGATTACAGAGACACAGTAAATAACTAACTAACTTCTTGTTTCTGCTAGTGTTGCCTCACAGTTGAGCTGCAGGGAGTCATCCTCTCCCCTTATCCTCAATTAGCAATCAGCTACAAAGTTTCCCCTGACAAGCAACCCAGGTCTTTTGTGTATTTATCACCACCTTTTTCATCCAGTTGGCGGTTCAGAGCTTGGGTGTTCCCATGCATGCAAGAGTTAACTTGGGGAAGGGAGAGTGCCCAACCTTTAGAAGAAGAAGCTCCCGTCATCTCACTGTGCCAATGTTAGCCTAGTTCATTAGATAGTCTTTTGTGCCCAAGCCAATGTTAATCTTGTTGATTGGATAATTTTTCATGCCAATGTAAGCTTAATAAAACTCCGACGGCAGCTATTTGGGGCTGCTCCCCTCTTCCACTTGCAATGCTTTGGGACAGTCCACCAGCCAGTGAATAAAGACTCCCGAGCTTCTAAGAGTCTGTCTCCGACTCATTTTTGGGGTGTAGCACCCAGTGATAACCCCCAAGGCTGTCCTTGGTCGGGTCCCTTTTATGATGGACGCTATTGCTTCAGGACAGGATCCGAAGAGATACCTAAAGGCGCTTTGAGTTCCACTGTTGGACAAGGTGAGAGTTTAAGGACAAGGTAGAGGCGCAAAACTGACCCCTTTTCAACTTCTTTTTTAAGATTTATTTATTTATTGGAAAGTCAGATATACAGAGAGGAGGAAGATCTTCCATCCACTGATTCACTCCCCAAGTGAGTGCAACGGCCGATGCTATGCCGATCCGAAGCCAGGATCCAGGAACTTCTTCCGGGTATCCCACATCGGTGCAGGGTCCCAAAGCTTTGGACCGTCCTCCACTGCTTTCCCAGGCCACAAGCAGGCGGAGCTGCCGGGAGCAGAACCGGCGCCCACATGGGATCCTGGCGCGTTCAAGGCGAGGACTTTAGCCGCTAGGCCCCCGCCTTTTCAACTTCTAACAAGATTTGCTTTCTAGAAGACTCCGAAGCACCTGGTGGCCATAGCAACTCAAGCCAAACTCTTCGCTCCTCAGCTGGGTACGACACGTCACGAACGTGCTGGTTGATTGGCTCCTCCCACCGACCAATCATCGGCGAAGCGGGATGTTTGCCGTGCGGTGGATGGTCGCGGGCTGGAAGGGAGGCGGGAGGAGAAGGGGCGGACTTGGACTGCTGGGCGGGTGCGTGTTTCCGGCTCCGCTGCAGAAGGCGAGCGACTGGAGCCGTTGGGCCCATAGCGACCCCCCACCCCAAGCAAAGGAACCGGGAGAGCGCGGGACTCGAGTGCGGAGCTCGGAGCGGGACTCGGAGACGGCGCGATGGGCGGGGAGCAGGAAGAGGAGCGGTTCGACGGCATGTTGCTGGCCATGGCACAGCAGCACGAAGGTGGCGTGCAGGAGGTAACCGCCCGCGCGGCGTGGGCCCGGCCTTCCACCCCCCATGTCCCCAGCAGCGGCCCCGACCACACGCTCCCTCCGGCCTTGTCCTCCTTCCAGGGTCGAGATCTACCCCTGGGCCTCGTGGGCGCTTGGGATTCCGCCCCTCCCGCCTTCTCAGCGGGCTGCAGCTTCCGGTCGTGTCGCCCGGCGGGCAGCGGTGATGCCCGGCCCGGCGCCCCTCGGTAGTTCCTGTATTAGCAGTTCCGCGGCCTTGCACCCGCCCGGGGAATTCCCCCACAGTCTCTCTCGCTCCCCCCAATTTTTTTTCTTTTAATTTTTTTGTCTCCCGTGCTTCCGGCCTGGTTTCTCGCTTGCATGCCGCCCCCATGAGCAGAGAGCATCCTTGGTCTGGCATCTCCCAGAATTATGGCTTGGGTTTACCAGGACTTGGAGCGAGCCTAGTAAGGGGAAGGTGGGGAGCGGCGGGAGGCTTGAGTAGTATTAGCACTGTTGTTGTTTTTTTTTTTTTAATACACCTGGGGCGGGAATAGGAGGTTCGTGTCCACCGCCAGGTCCCTTGCCCCTGAGGCGGAACGACTTGTCCCCCGTTTTCCTGAACTGTTCTGAGTCGTGTCTTGGCGCATGGCATCTGTTGAGTGATGAGTGTGTTCCAGACCCTCAGGAGATGGGCGCCTGGGGTGTGAGCAGAATGCAGCCTTGTCCTCCTGGCTCCTGCCAGCGGCTTTGTCAAAGCCGGTTTCCTTCTGAGTGACCGCCTGGACCCAGGGGTTTGTGGGAACGGGAACAGAGAGCTAGAGGGAGAAAAGCCCCATCTTGTCCCATTCATCAGCTGAGGGTCAGAGAGGAGCCGAATCTTGCCCCAATCACTCTGCAGGCTCCTTCCCTGCACTGGACCAGACCCCTTACTCCTTAGACCAACACTTGGCCACTGCGCGGGGCAGAGTCGGCCTCACTGAGCACACTTCTCTTTTTCTTTTTAAGCAGAAGTGTTTTTCAGCTTAGGTGTGTGCATGATTTGGTTACACATGATACTATGAGACTTTTTCTTTTAAATTTTCTTTTATTTTTATTGTGCAGTCAGATATACAGAGGAGGAGAGAAAGAGAGAAAGATCTTCCGTCTGATCATTCACTCCCCAAGTGACTGCAACGGCTGGTGCTGTGCCGATCCGAAGCCAGGAGCCAGGAGCTCTTCCAGGTCTTCCATGTGGGTGCAGGATCCCAAGGCTTTGGGCCATCAGCTGCTTCCCAGACCACAGGCATGGAGCTGGATGGGAAGCAGGGCTTTTGGGATTAGAACCGGTGCCCATATGGGATCCTGGCACGTTCAGGGCGAGGACTTTAGCTGCTAGGCCATGGCATTGGGCCTGAGACTTTTTTAAGATTTATTTATTTAAAGAATTACAGAGAGTAGTTGGGGGCGGGGAGGCTAAGAGAGTTCATCCGTTGGTTCACTCCCCAAATGGCTGCTGTGGCTAGAGCTGGGTTGACCAGAAAGAAGCTAGAAACCAGGAGCTTCTGGGCCTCCCACCTGTGTGCAGGACACAAGGTTTTGGGACATCCTCTGTTGCCTTCCAGGCTTACCAGCAGGGAGCTGGGTTAGTGGTGGATCCCCAGGGACTGGAATTGGTTCCCCATATGGGATGCTGGCATCACAGTGGAGGATTAATATCCTATGCCACTGTGCCGGCCCCATGGGAACAAGTTTTCTTGGCTCTTTCAAGGTTGGATTTGAGAGGGAGTTCATTTGTTTGGAGTAATTTGGGAAAGCAATAGCAAGAATGGAAATTCTCAAGATAACCTGGGTCAGATTGATCTCAGACCATCTGTGGTAAGCTTAGGTTACTGTGAGATTGTTTTATTGGGTAAGAGTTTTACTGAGCGCAAGTGGATGCTTGTCTGCTTGCGATGGGGTTATGTCCTGATAAACTCATTGTAAGTTGAAAATGCATTTAACGCCTCACCAAGTGACGATTGTAGCTTGGCCATAATAGCGGGTGCGGGGGGCGGGAGCACCCCTCGGTGTTGGCTGTTGCCTTGGTGATGGTGATGACCAGGATGACTTGGAGCACCTGGCCCTCAACATTCAGCTTTTCTTTTTTTAAGGATTTTTTTTTTTAAAAGATTTACTTATTTTTGTTGGAAAGACAGATATGCAGGGAGCAGGAGAGACAGATCTTCTGTCTGATGATTCACTCTCCAAGTGGCTGCAACGGCTGAAGCTGAGCCGATCTGATGCCTGAAGGCTCTTCTGGGTCTCCCATGGGTGCAGGGTCCCAAGGTTTTGGGCCGTCCTCGATTGCTTTCCAGGCCACAAGCAGGGAGCTGGATGGGAAGTGGGGTTGCTGGGATACAAACCGATGCCCATGTGGGGTCCCGGCATGTGCAAGATGAGGACTTTAGCCACTAGGCTACCACACTGGGCCCTTTAATAATGAACTTTTGACTCCTGGAAAGGAAAGTTCATGCCCTGACTGTGGAGGAATGTTCCACGTTCACAGGTGAGACATCTGTGTTTCAGATAGTCTACCTAAGATTGGGTGGGCTTCCTGGTGGAATGGAAGTGGCCTGACAGGGGGGGGTCTCTCCTCAGCGGGAAGCTCAGGTTCCCTCTTGTACCCAGGAAGTGTCTCCTGTGCCTGCCGCCTGCACGGCACCTCTGTAACCTCAGCATTCTCTCCATGTCTTTCAGCTTGTGAATACTTTCTTCAGCTTCCTTCGACGCAAAACAGACTTCTTTGTTGGTGGAGAGGAGGGGATGGCAGAGAAGGTGAGTGTTGGGGGTCCCAGGTCTGGCAGGTCTCTCTGCAGAGCAAAGGGGCCGGGCCTTCTTGAGCAGATGCGCCGTGCCAGGAACGAGGCCTGGAAGGAGGGAGGAGGCTGTCTTTTGCGGAAGCTGAGCTCCTCACTGTAGCTTTGGCTGCTTTCTGGTCATTGTTCTGTAGCAGAAGGGGTGGATGTGTGCATTTCACAAAAGAAGGACATTGCTTCAGGGAGATTTCTCCTTTTCTTAAGATTTATTTATTTTTGAAGAGTTATTTTTATTGCAAAGTCAGATATCAGAGAGGAGAGACAGAGAGGAAGATTTTCCATCCAATGATTCACTCCCCAAGTGAGTGCAACGGCTGGTGCTGTGCCGATCCGAAGCCAGGAGCCAGGAACTTCCTCCAGGTTTCCCATGCAGGTGCAGGGTCCCAATGCTCTGGATCGTCCTTGACTGCTTTCCCAGGCCACAGGCAGGGAGCTGGATGGGAAGCAGGGCTTTCGGGATTAGAACCGGCACCCATATGGGATCCGAGTACTTGCAAGGCGAAGATTTTAGCAATTAGGCCAATGTGTTGGGCCCCCACATGGAGGTTTTGTGAAGTCTTTAGCTGAATTGTGGGAGCACCAGGCCGATCTTTTTGCTCCAGCACCTGCCTCTTTGTTCCATTTTTTTTTTTTTTCAAGACTTATTTATTTTTGCTCTAAAGTTCTAAAGTCAGATATATAAAGAGAGGAAGAGAGACAGAGAGAAATGTCTTTCATCTGATGATTCACTTCCCAAGTGACAACAACGGGCACTGCTGCACTGATCCAAAGCCAGGAGCCAGGAACTCTTCTGGGTCTCCCAAGCAGGTGCAGGGTCCCAAAGCTTTGGATCATCCTTGACTGCTTTCCCAGGCCACAAGCTGGGAGCCGGATGGGAAGTGGGGTTGCCGGGATTAGAACTGGTGATCATATAGGATCCTGGCGCATTCAAGGTGAGGACTAGCTGCTAGGCCTCTGTGCTGGGCCTGAGTACTTTGGTTGTTGCCACCCACATGGAAACCAGGGTGAAGTTCCTGGCTGTTGGCTTCTACCTGCTCCAACCCTGGCTGTGGTAGGCATTAGGGAATGGACCAGCAGATGGAAGAGCTCTCCCTCTGTCACTCTGCCTTTCAGATTTATAAAGAAATCTTCAGGGAAAAAAGAAATTGGGAAAACTGAGGGCCTGCCAATCCATGTCTTCCCAGATGCAGCGACCCAGAATCAAGGTTTTAGGGACTGCATTTTGTGGTGGCGGTTCTGACTATTACTGAGGCTGCTCACTCACTGAAAGGTGCTGCACACTCCTGGCCTCTGCCTTCCAGCCCTGTGTCCTTGAGGGACTCCCCTAGTTCCCAAACCTAACTGTTCTGGTTTGTAAGGGAGGATGCTTATTAATTATTTTAAAGGTTTATTTTTTTTTATTGGATCGTCAGATATACAGAGAGGAGGCGAGTAAGATTATCCATTTGTTGAATCACTTCCCACGTGGTCACAACAGCCAGAGTTGTGCCAATCTGAAGACAGGAGCCGGTAGTCTCTTCTCCAGGTCTCCCACGCGGGTGCAGGGGCCCAAGGCTTTGGGCCATTCTCGACTGCTTTCCCAGGCCACAAGCAGGGAGCTGGATAGGAAGCAGGGAAGTAGTGATTAGAATCAGCGCCCATATTGGATCCCAGCACGTGCAAGAGGAGGGCTTTAGGCACTAGGCTACTGCACTGTGCTGTGAGGATAGTTATTTTTTAAAGATTTACTTATTTTACTTGAAAAACAAAATTGCAGAGAGAGATAGGGACAGGGAGTGCTGCTGGCTTACTTCCCAAATGACCACAGCTGGGCCTGTCTAAAATCAGGAGGGATGCTGGCACAGCATAGGCAGTGGTTTTTACCTGTTATTGCAAAGCAAAGCACTAGCAGTAGAGATCTTTTTTTTTTTTTTTTTTTAAGATTTTAAATTTTTATTGGAAAGGCAGAGTTTACAGAGAGGGAAAGACAGAAGGAAAGATCTTCCATCTTCTGTTATAGCTATCAGATGGCTGCAATGGCCAGAGCTGAGGTGGGAGCCCGGAGCTTCTTCCAGGTCTCCCACATGAGTGCAGGAACCCAAGGTTTTGGGCTGTCCTTCACTGTTTTTCCTGGGCAACAAGCAGGGAGCAGGCTAGGAAGTGGGATTAGAACCTCTGCCCATATAGGACACCTAGAACTCATAAAGGCAAAACCACATATGCTTTTTGACTATTTGTATATCATCTTTGACATGCCTGTTCAAATCCTTTGCAAAATTGGAGAAAAAAGAATTCAGAGACATCAATGGCGATGCTTCCCATTTAGTGGTTTGTTCTCGGATACCTCAGTAGCTAGCGCTGGACCCAGAGACTCCATCCAGGTCTGCTGTGTGGGTCACAGGAATCTCATGGTTGGACCATCCTTGCAGTCTCTCAGGAGACCGGAGTTAGGAGCTGGGGTCAGAAATGCAAACGGGTACATCAGAGCGGGATCTGATGTCCCTCACTGGCAGTTGGGTTGTTTGATGACTTGCTTTGATAAAAACAACCTGGTTGATGGGAACTCAACCAGATTGCAACTCATTTTTTGGAGTAGCCTGGTCATTTGTCCTGAAAAATTTCCCACAATATAGATTTTACTGGTTGTGTTGTGTCCTATTAACTGTTTTTACTGATAACACTTCTCACAGAAATTCTGTATTTTTTCTTCCTAACAGCCAGTTCTTCCACTGTCCAGACATTACGGAGAAGCAGGTGCAGTCAGCTGCCCAGTGTTAGAGCACACCCTGCAGGCTAAGGCCTCAATCCCTAGGCTCGTTCTATTTTTTGATCTGCCTCTTAAAGTCCCAGGGTGCCACTTGTACTTTCTTTTTTTAAGAATTTATTTATCTTTATTAGAAAGGCAGCTTGAGGGAGAGAAAGATAGAGAGGGAACTCTTCCCCTTGCAGGTTCACTGCTTTCCCAGACAACAAGCCAAGCAGGGAGCTAAATGGGAAGTGGAACATCCAGGGCACGAACCAGTACTCATATGGGATCCTGGCACATATAAGGGAGGGTGTAGCCGCTAGGCCACCGCGCCAGGCCCACCACTTGTACTTTTTAAGATTTATTTATTTTTGGGCTGCACCATGGCTTAGTATGCTAAGCTTTTTCCTATAGTACTAGCACCTCACATAGGTGCCACTTCAAGTCCTGCTTGCACCACTTCAGATTCAGCTCTGTTTATGGCCTGAGAAAGAGGCAGAGGGGCCCTGCATGGTAGCCTAGTGGCCAAAGTCCTTACCATGCACATGGTGGGATCCCATATGAGCGCTGGTTCATATCCCAGGTTCTCCATTTCCCATCCAGCTCCCTGCTTGTGGCCTGGGAAAGCAGTCGAGGACGGCACAAAGCCTTGGGACCCTGCCACCTGCATGGGAGACCCAGAAGAGGCTCCTGGCTTTGGATTGGCTCAGTTCTGGGTCATTGTGGCCACTTGGGGAGTGAATCAATGGATGGGAGATCTTTCCGTCTCCTTTCTATATCTGACTTTCCAATAAAAATAAATAAATCTTAAAAAAGCAGCAGAGGATGGCTCAAATTCTTGGGCTCCTACGTCCACGTGGGAGACCCAGAAGAAGCTTCTGCTTTTGAATTGCCTCAGCCCTGACTATTGTAGCTATATGGGAAATGAAGCAGCAGATGGAAGATTTCTTTCTCCCCTTCTCTCTTTGACTGTGGCTTTTAGATAAAACAAAAATAAAATCATTTTTTTCTTTTTTGAGATTTATTTATTTGAGAGCTGTAGTACGATAGCTCAATGGCTAAATGGGCACCAGTTCATATCCCAGCTGCTCCACCCACCATCCAGCTCCCTGCTTGTGCCCTGGGAAAGCAGTCGAGGACGGCCCAAAGCCTTGGGACCCTGCACCTGCATGGGAGACCTGGAGGAGACTCCTGGCTCCTGGCTTTGATCCGTTCAGCTTTGGCTGTTTCAGCCACTTGGGAAGTGACCCAGCAGATGGACGATCTTTCTTTTTGTTTTTCTTCTATAATATGCCTTTCCAATGAGAAGATTTATTTCAAAGATAAAACTACAGAGACAGTGGGAGAGACAGATCTTCCATCTTTCAGTTTACTTCCAAAATGGCTGCAATGATCCGAACCCAGGAACACTGGTTTTCCCTTGTGCGTGGCAGGGTGGCAATTACTGAGGCAGTTTTCTGCTGCTTTCCCAGATGTGTTAGCAGAGAGCTGGAACTGAGTTCCATAGTTCCCCTATGGGATGCCAGCATTGCAGACAGTGGCCCAACACACTACAGCACAACACCAGCCCTGCACCTTCACTTCATTAGAATGACAGAACCCGGAACAGTGTTTAACTTTTTATTACTTGTTTATTGTGACAGGTACATTGAATTAGGGCAAGTTGGCAGGGTTTGCAGTACAAGTTACGGCTCTCCTACAGCCCAGATGTCTTCTCGTCCCTCTCAGCAGGTGTTTCTGTGGTTCCTCCTTACGTAGGAAGCCTGATGGGATGCGGATGTTGGAGTGGCTGAAGGTTCCCACCATGTCCTCTGCCTCGGTATCTTCTCTAATTGCAGCTATGCCAGAGCCTGCTGAGAGTGTCTCAGTAGAACCATAGCTGCTCTGGGGCCCGGCGCAATGGCTCAGCGGTTAAGTCTTCTCCTTGCACATGCCAGGATCCCATATGGGTGTCAGTTCATTTCTCAGCTGCTCTACTGCTTATCAAGCTCCTTGTTTGTGGCCTGGGAAACCATTCGAGGATGGTCCAGAGCCTTGGCACCTGCATGAGGCTCTTGGCTTCAGATCAGTTGCCTCAGCTTCGTTCATTGTGGCTACTTGGTGAGTGAACCAGCAGATTGAAGATCTGTCAATCTGATCTGCTTTTTCAATAAAAAAGAAATGATTATTTTTTCCAAAAAAAAAAAAAAAAAGAGTTGGGTTCGATGCGTTGGCTTAGTGGCTAAAGTCCTTGCCTTGCATGCGCCAGGAATACTATATAGGCGCCGGTTCTCATCCTGGCTGCCCTGCTTCTCATCCAGCTCCTTGCCTGTAGCCTGGGAAAGCAGTTGAGGATGGCCCAAAGCCTTGGGACCTGCAACCCACAAGGGAGATGCAGAAGCAGCTCCGGGCTCCTAGCTTCAGATTGGCTCAATTTAGGCTGTTGGGGCCACTTAGGGAGTGAATCAACTGATGAAAGATCTTCCTCTCTGACTGTCCCCTCTTTATATATGACTTTCCAATAAAAAAAAAAAAAATCTTAAGAAAGAAAGAAAGAAAGAAAGAAAGAGCTGCTCTGGCAGGAACCGATTCCCTGGTGTTACTGTCCCCATGGTGTCACACAATGCTTGGCCTTGGCATTTGGATCCCCTGTGGGTCATGTTTGGGATCAGAGGCTGTATTTAAGCTACAGGGTTGGTTGTTTCAGGGATGCGTCTTGGTTCTGCGGGCGGCCTGTGGCATGGGGTGGGTCTTGTGTTGGGTCAGCAGTCGCTGGTCACACTTCAGTGTGCTGTCATGTTGCTACTGGTTGGAAGAGAGCTCACATTTTACCATTTTTTGTGAGCTGAAACTTTGAGTAGCCATTTGGTGACTCTGGTTCTACACTGGCATTATGCTTTCAGCATGGGTACCCGTTTGCTAGCATCTTCTAGGATGGAGCCGTGTGGCAGCAGGGTTAGTGTTCTTTGCACTGTTGTCAAGAGAACATAGATTGTCTAATTTAATTAATTTATTTTTTAGATTTAAATATTTTTATTGCAAAGTCAGATATACAGAGAGAGAGACAGGAAGATCTTCCGTCCGTCCATTGATTCACTCCCCAAGTGATCACAACGGCCGGTACTGTGCCGATTTGAAGCCGGGAACCAGGAGCTCTTCTGGGTCTCCCACGCAGGTGCAGAGTCCCAAGGATCTGGGCCGTCCTCAACTGCTTTCCCAGGCCACAAGCAGGGAGCTGAATGGGAAGCGGGGCCACCGGGATTAGAACCGAGGACCATATGGGATCCTGGCGCACTCAAGGCGAGGACTTTAGCCGCTAGACCACCATGCCAGGCCCAATTTATTTTATTTTTTTAAAGATTTGTTTGTTTTGACTATTAAGGTAGATCAGATTTAAAGAGAAGGAAAGACAGATCTTCCATCTGCTGATTCACTCCCCAAATGGCTGCAACAACTTTTGTTGAGCCAGATCAAAGCCTGGAGCTAGGAGTTTCTTCTAGTTTTACTATGCAGGTGCAGGGTCCCGAGGCTTTGGGCCGTCCTTGACTGCTTTCCCAGGCCACAAGCAGGGAGCTGGATGGGAAATGGGAGAACCTGGGATATGAACTGGTGCCCATCACCGCCACCACTAGATGGGCCAGCTTTAAGATCTCCTGCCTTTAGGTTCAGCTTCAAGAGCGCTCAGGTGGGCTCTGGCAAGGCAACCTGTCAGCCAGCCTGAGCAGGGAGAGCCTGTGTTCACCACTGCCTGCTGCTAGCCTGGGGACCTGTTCTAGTGCATGCCCCGCCTTCCTCACCCCTTCCCTACCTTGTTGGGCTTTGTGGTTCCCAAAGTCATGTCCAGAGACTGAAGCTGGACTGTGATCGCCTCTGGGTTGGCTGCCACACCCGTGGGGCTGGGCCTGGGTGAAGCTGGCAGGTGGAGGTTGGGCAGGCGGGGTCAGAGGCTGCTGTGACTGGCCTTGACACTGGTAGTTCCTCTGTGCCCTAATTTAACCTTTAGGAACTGGGAAGGAACAGGGCAAACGGGATGTGACATGATTCACTGGGTGTAGGAGAGCGAAGGGCTATGCTCCCTCCTCCTCTCAGCTAGTGGTTGGTAAATGATTTGAGTTCAAGGTCTCCCTGACTGGGGACTTGGGGCCAAGGCCCTGCAGTGGAATAGCCTCTGCTGGCGTAACTGTCTTCTGACCTTTTGTTTATCTGCACAGCAGAAAGGCCGTCAGGTGGCTCATTTCTCTGTCTGAAAACATAGCTGTTTTGTCAGCTCGTATTTCAGGCGGTGTTCTTGATGTCCTTCAACCTTGCAGAGTGGGCAGCTGTGAGGAGGGGTAAGGGTGAAGGCTTGGGGAAGACAGGAAGGAACTGGCACCCCATGAGTGAGAAGCCTCGGGGTGTTTGGCGGATCCGTCTGTCTGGAGCTGAGGGTGGCTCCTGTAAGCCTGAGCTCTTGGAGACAGATGCCTTCCTCTCTCCAGCTCTGACTCAGAGTTGCTTCAAGACTGGTTTTCTTTTATTTTTCTTCTTTTTTATAAAGATTTATTTATTTTTACTGGGAAGTCAGATGCAGAGAGGAGGAGAGACAGAGAGCACGATCTTTCATCAGTTGATTCACTCCCCGAGTGGCCGCAACAGTCGGAGCAGAGCTGATTTGAAACCAGGACCCAGGAATTTTCTTCCAAGCCTTTGGGCCAACCTCTACTGTTTTCCCAGAGCACAGGATGGGAGCTGGATGGAAAGTGGAGCAACTGGGACATGAACTGGTGTCCATATGGGATTCTGGTGCTTGGACGTAGAGAGGATGAACCAATTGAGCCATTGTGCAGGGACTAATAAGACTGTTTCTTGACCTTTGGTCACTTGGCGGGCACACAGTGAGGGAGTGTGTGTGTGTGTACACACATTCATGCCACATTTAAGGTGGCATTAAGTTGTGTTTCCTAAGGGTATATTCTAGGTCTGTTGAAGAACGTAGGTTGGAGCTCAGGGGACCCTGAGTGTTCCAGAGGGTAACTAGGAGCTTCTCAGGTGACCTGCAAGTGGGGCAAGGATGTTTTAGGCAGAGATCACATGCCAAGGCTGCTTCTAGAATTAATCGTGGCACCCAGGTAGGAACAAACCAGGAAATCCAATTTGAGTTTGACTCTGAGGTTTGTATGAAGGAATTGGCCAAGAGGGCTTGTTAAATTGTTGGACCATATTCCAGAATTTCTACTGAAGTGGGGCCTGATTGTATTTATAAACTGCTGAGTTGATGTTAATGTAGGTCCGAGGAATCCCTGGTGTCAGGTACTGTGGTCAGCATGGCTGCAGAACCTTCGTTCCCCCAGCTGACAGGCACAGCCTCAGCCAGTCCTGGGGTGTTGAGGAACCTGTACTTTCTTTTCTTTTTCTTTTAAAGATTTATTTTTATTGGAAAGTCAGATATACAGAGAAAAGGAGAGACAGAGAGGATGATCTTCCATCTGATGATTCACTGCCTAAGCCGGAGCTGAGCTGATCTGGTTTCCCATGCTGGTGCAGAGTCCCAAGGCTTGGGCCATCTTCGACTGCTTTCCCAGGCCACAAGCAGGGAGCTGGATGGGAAGCTGGGCTGCTGGGATACGAACCAGCACCTATATGGGATCCTGATGCATGCAAGGCGAGGACTTTAACTATTAGCCTACTGTGCCGGGTTTTTATTTTCATTTTTTAATAAAGATTTTTTATCCAAAAAGCAGTGTTACAGAAAAAAGAGGGAGAGATGGAGATCTTCCATCTATAGGTTCACTTCTCATATAGCCACAACTGTCAGGGTTGGGCCAGGCCAGGCCAAAACAAAGTCCAGAACTCCATCCGGGTCAGCCTTGAGGGTGACAGGGGCCCAAGCACGTGGAGTACTCAGGATTTGAACCTGGCGCTCGTTTGGGATGCTAACATTGCAGGCAACTTCATCACAGCACTGGCCGACCTTTGCGAGAGTCTGGAGTTTGAGTTCTCCTTGTATGAGCTTTGCTTTTTAAAGTAGCCATTGTGTACTGAGCCAGGTACTTTCAACACTGTGTACTGAACACAGTGGGGTTTTCATTACCACCCTCAGACGGGAGCACCGTCCCATTTTACTGCTGAGGAGACCAACCTTCTCCAAGGGTGGTGTTTTGCAGGGGCACCCGGCAGCTGGGCTGTGGGCCTTGGGGTGCAGTCCTCTGCTGTGAGACCTCATTGCCTTCTCTTCCTCCCCAGCTCATCACACAGACCTTCAACCACCACAACCAGCTGGCACAGAAGGCGCGGCGGGAGAAGAGGGCCCGGCAGGAGACTGAGCGGCGGGAGAAGGCTGAGCGGGCTGCCAGGCTCGCCAAGGAAGCCAAGGCAGAGAACCCTGGGCCTCAGATCAAGGAGCTGACTGATGAGGAGGCTGAGCGACTTCAGCTGGAAATTGACCAGGTGAGGGGGGGCAGCAGATCCTCCCTGGCACTGGGCAGTGGGGGGCTGGTTGCCCATTGCTATGTTTCTTGCCACAGAAAAAAGATGCAGAGAACCATGAGGCCCAGCTCAAGAACGGCAGCCTTGACCCTCCGGGGAAGCAGGTGAGTGTTCTGGGGTTAGCCAGGGCCAGGACCTCAGGGATACTCTGGCCCACCCCTTCCTCTAGGATGCCTTTCCTGGGGCTCCATACTTGAGGCTCCCTTTTAGATGATGCACTAAAGGACTAGGGCAGTGGAGGGGGTGCCGTTTGAGGTGGGCTGTGGCCATGGGCCCTGCCACCTCCTTTGTTCTGTGAGGTGTGTTCTGGGCTCGTCAGGGAGAGGTCAGCTGGTTTAGCCTCTGGTTCCCAGGGAGCCAGGCCTGGGGTATCTGCCCCTCATGGAGTGAGCAGGGAGCAGGTTGCTGTGCTTGGTGGGTCTGAGGTTGGAGCGAGGGAACAGTCTTATGTCTGTCAAGAAAACAGCAAAGTACCTCTGACTGTGTGAGCAGGAGGCTGAGGAAGATGAAGAGGAAGATGAAAAGGACAAAGGAAAACTGAAGCCCAACCTTGGCAACGGGGCCGACCTGCCCAATTATCGCTGGACCCAGACGCTGTCAGAGCTGGACGTGAGTGTTGGGGCCCGAGGTCGAAGTTAGGGGGCCAGCCTGGTGTCCAGCAGCCTCTAGTGGGCCCCTCCTGATTTCCTTTGTCCCATGTAGCTGGCTGTGCCTTTCCGTGTGAACTTCCGGCTGAAGGGGAAGGACATGGTGGTGGACATCCAGCGGCGCCATCTCCGCGTGGGGCTCAAGGGGCAGCCAGCCATCATCGACGGGGAACTCTACAATGAAGTGAAGGTGGAGGAGAGCTCGTGGCTCATTGAGGACGGCAGGGTGCTGACTGTGCATCTGGAGAAGGTGCGTGAGGCCCAGCACTATGGGCTGCATGTCAACACTGGGACAAGGGGTCTGTGTGTCCACTCATTTGAGCACCCAGGGCTTCATAGTTACCTTACTTGGTCTCCATGCCAGGACCGTTTAAAGTGGGTCTCACCATTCAGGAGTCTGGGAAAGAGTGCAGGGATGGGTTTGGGCTCCTGACCCCTCGAACAGGGTGGAGTTGGGATGGCCACCCTGTTCAGTGCCAAAGCCGCTTGATTCTGCAAGGTTTGCGCATGTATTCAACCCAGCAAATCCTGGAACACCTGTTCTGTGCCAGTACTATTCTAAGTGCTGGGAAGAGGAGAGCAGACAAGACGTGGAGGAGTCTTCTAGGATGCCTAGGGGGCCCGCCTCTGCCTCCCACAGCGGTGGGACACAGGCACCAGGGAGGAAGGCAGCTCCCCTCAAGGGTGGGGTGAGGACAGCCACCCCGGCACAGGATGTTTTGTTCTGACCCACAGGGTGCTGCTGGCCGCCTTGCCCTGGCACTTGGGTTTCTCCCCCTTCTTCTTCCTGCTCATTTTTCTGAGTGGTACACTGTTGTCCCTCCCTGCTGTCCCCCCGAGAGCCTGTTCTGTAGTGCAAGTCCCCGCCTGCCTCTTCTCACAGATCAATAAGATGGAGTGGTGGAGCCGCTTGGTATCCAGTGACCCTGAGATCAATACCAAGAAGATCAACCCCGAGAACTCCAAGGTGAGCCTGGCTGCCTGGGGGAGTATGGACAAGGAGGTGGGGACCTGGGTGATGGGCACTTCACCAACCTGTGTCACTGCCTGCCCCCAGTTGTCGGACTTGGACAGTGAAACTCGAAGCATGGTGGAAAAGATGATGTACGACCAGAGGCAGAAGTCCATGGGGCTGCCCACCTCGGATGAGCAGAAGAAGCAGGAGATTCTGAAAAAGTGAGTCATTCCAGGAGAGGGCTGCAGTGAGGGTGGGTGCTGGGGATAGCAGCAAGTGGGTCCCTGAGCAGGACTCAGAGCTGCCCTGCCCCCTCCTGGGGTGAACCAGCCCAGTTCATGGCTCAGCGGCCTTGGCTTGCCTAACCTGATTGTTTGCTGAGGTCATCTGGAGGACAAGGCCAGCTCATGGCAGGAGGGAAGGTGTAACACACTGTCATTGCCACCTACAGGAAAACGGAGTGCCAGTGTTGGCACCTCAGTTCTATAGTCTCTTGGGCTGAAAGGGCCTGACTATCTGTGGCCCGTCCCCGCCCAGCCTGGCTCAAGGTTCTAGAGATTAGACCTGCTGCAGGTGTGGGAGAGAGGGCAGGGAAGCTTGGACTGCCTGTTCTACTTTATTCCTTTGCTCCTTTCCCCAGATTCATGGATCAGCATCCGGAGATGGATTTTTCCAAGGCCAAATTCAACTAGGTTCCTGCATTTGCCTCCCTGAACTTGGGGGCTGATCCTGCAGCCATCTGACTTCCTTGCTGTCCCTCTCCTAGGACATGGGAGCCTCAGGGCAGAGGCGGGTACAGGACTGGCCCAGATCCAGAGGTCCCCAGTCACCATGGGAGAAGGGGCCAGAGCGGGGGTCTCGTCTTCCCCTCTTGGCCACTGTTACATTAAAGCTATTTACCCAGCTCCACCTGTGTGCTCTCCTCCCTTTGGCATTTCCCTGGGGCACAGGCAGCACTTCTGTGGGGAGCTGGGGTTTGGCTCTGAGCCCAGATTCTGCCATGTGACCTGAGGAAAGTTCTGGCCCCTCTCTGGGCCTCAATTTCTCATTACTCAAATACAAGATTAAATCAACTCTGGGTGTCCCAGCAAGGGTGAGCTTTCCTGGCTACAGAACTGGTTTGTGGGTCAAGTTCTTAGGGGGCTCGTGACCCAGCAATGTTGGGTTAGATGGGCTTTGGGGAACTTCCCACCACAGCAGGGCTGCCCCTAGGAGCAGAAAAGCAACAAGGGCTTTAAGGTTGGGGCAGCAAGCCTAGCTCAGAGGAACCAGGGACTGCCAGGCCTGAGTCCTTCTGATTGTGGTTTGGGGGCATGGCTGGGAGGACCAGGTGTCAGCTGGAGTCCTGGTGAGTCTCCATAGGTATACGAACTTCCCAGGGGTGCTCACCTATGTACAGGGCAGCCTCTGCTGCACCTGGACCAGGGGGTGGAGGTGTTTGGGCAGCCACAGAGGTTCTGGGAAGGTCTAGCTAGCTTGTGTTCTGTGGGTAGGTTGACCCTGGAATGTCTGGGACACAGCATTTCCATGCTAAAATTTCAGAACAGCTTTTAAAGGGTTCCAAAAAGGGTATGCAGTACCTGGGCTGGTCTTCCCAAACTTGATAAGCCCTTATTTCTGGAAATGTAATTATTGACTCCCAAAGCAGGATCTGGGCAGCACTAGAGAGGGACTGCAAGAGTTGCTCCCATTAATACCCTGTGGTCCCATCTACCTTGGAGGGCCTTGGCCTGGACATGATAGCAGAGCCTGGGGTATCGCTGGCACTGTTGTGCTCCTAGCCCTAAGGGACCTTCCAGTGTTCCTGATGGGAAACTGGATCAGCAAGTATGGCTGAGCTCTCACTTCTACTGAGGGTAGGCTAGGGGCGTAGGTGTTTGTATGAGGTGCCCAGTTCCCATATTGGAGCTGCTGGGACACTGGGAGACAGCAGCCATGGCTCCAGTGGTTGGGTCAGTGCCATTTAACATGGGAGACCAGGCTTGAGTTCATGGCTTCAGATGGAAGCTCTCTTGGTGTCTCTCACATATGAGTATATACATGTAAAGGGATCCTAAACATCTGCAACAGGGCCCCATACTCAGAGCTCTTGCCCACTGGCCTTTGGGTGAGCAGCTGAGCAAGACTCTTCAGAGCCCAGTGGAGCTCTGGGAGGTCACACAAGGAATCCTGCTCCTGCCAAGGGCAGCTTTCCATTCCCTGGGGAGCCACAGTTGGCAACCGCACAACCCACAGGCCACTCCAGTGTTGAAGAGGCCAAGAAGGTGCTAAATCGCAGGACCTGTCACCAGCTGGGGAAGCTGAGGGATGCCGGAAACAGGCCAGCCTGTGAGGGCAGGGGCCACCCGGACATTCTGGCCAAGCAAACACGTCATACCTTCCTTGGGTTTAGCCACTGCCTGGCCCCTGACCTCCTGGAGCTGATCTTAGCCTCATGGCATTAAGCCAAACTGATGCCTGATGTTCTGTCTTGCTCTGGGAAGCACAAGGCCAAGCAGAAGAGATTAAAGACATCACCTCTGTACTTGCAATTAGTGTCATGTTAACATGTAGAATAGCCAAGAAATGAAACAAAACTGGCGTGGGCCCTGCCCACCCCCAACCCAGTCTATTTAAGCTGCTTTTAGCAGTAGGTTCCTCCAGGGAGAAGTCTGTATGCTATGTTACGGCATGGAGTCAATTCGGAAGGTAACTGTAAGTCCTTACTTTTCTCTCATCAGTCCGCCCAAAGGCCGTGAGCTGGAAGGAACAGGCCAGCTGAGGTGGCCGGAGCTGTGGGCACCAGGGCCCAACAAAATACATGTGGTCCAGGAGCCAATCCAGCTAAGGGAGGAGGCACCAGAGTGGACACTGCTGGGTCCATGGCCAAGCCACCCCCAAGAGCAGGGTTCCGGCCCCTCATTCTGCAGGCCATGCTTCTCCCAGGGAGGGCGGCGTCGTGGGGCCTGGTGGGGTTAGCAGTACACCTGGAGCAGAGGGGCACCAGACGAGTCTGTGTCGGTGCCCTGGAAAGACGAGTCATGGCTGGCTGGGTACCCTGGGGGAGAGGAGGAAAGAGGCTGAGAGGGTGGAGCTCATCAGGCCCCGTGGTGGGGTGAAGCAGCAGAGCAGGCTTTGGGCCTGACTCAGTATGATCCTGACCTCTCTGAATCCCAGCCTCCCTCTCTGAAAGAGTAACGACCTTGCTCCAGAGGGTTGGGAAGGCCAAGGTCACGGCAGTAGAAACCACACAGGGTGTCCTTTCAGCACCAGTGCAGGTAGCTATCTGACCTCACTCCTCCCCAGGGGCCTGGGCTTCAAGGTTGGGGTTCAAACATTCCCTGCTTGTTCTGGGCACCTGGTCCCGCTATAAGCCAGCCTGCAGGATGAGTTGAGTTTGGCTGCTCAAGCCCCTCGTCTCCTGATCCCATCCTCTCCACCCCTGGAGGAAGTGGGGTGAGGGGGCCCTCGGGTAGTCCCCCATCCTCTGCATGCTAGGTCAGGACCACACCTGGGGCTCCATAAGGCCTCAGCTTCCGGGCGATGGCGTCTGCTGTGGTCTCCTGGGAGATCTGCACTGTGAGCTCTAGGGAAGCAACCGAGAGGGGCAGCGGTCATTAGTGCACCCTTCCAGCCCGTCAACCCCCCACAGGACTTCCAGACACACATGACATGTGGGTAGTTGTGCAATAAGGAAGGGGTAGAGGAGTGGGGTTAAGGCAAGCCATGCCAGAGGTCCAAATCCATATGGGTCCCTAGGTCCTGCTTCCCAGGTTGGGCCTGGATGCCACTCTGGTAGCTGGTGGCAGGGGCTAGAAAAAGTCAATAAGGTGAACTTGATGACAACAGGTGGCTTTGGCCTTTCTGGACATCACAGCAGTAGCCAGAAGAGCCAGCGTGGGAGCTGGGGAGGTGCAAGCACAGGAGTGGAAATCAAGGACAGGGTATGGCTGAGGAGTACACCCACAGCGGCCTCCCCCAGTCTGCCCCTCAGCCCCATATGACCCCCCACCTACCATCCTGGCTGAGACCTGAGCCCACCATGGTCTCATGGCCACTGTCAGGTGCAGTGGTGGCAGGGGCAGTAGCCCGCGTGGAGCGCCCCTCGGAGGTCTGTGGGCGGGTGCGACTCTTGCGGGTGCTGATGCGGATGATGCCACGCACCAGGCGGCCCTCGGCGTCCTGCTCATCCAGGTGGTAGTCCTGCGTGATGCTGTTGATCAGGTCTGAGATCTTGCTGGTCTTCTCCAAGAACACAGTGTCCGACGTGCACTTGGCCAGCTCGTCGATCTGGTGCACGCTAAACAGCTCTGTCAGCTTCTTAAAGATGAGTACATCAATCTCGCGGCTGGACATGGAGCCGCTGCCCATCTCGGGAAGGTCCAGGTCTGACTCGTGGAAGGAGTAATACTCCTCGGAGCCGCGGTGGCTGCTGGCGAGGGTGCTGGGCAGGCTGTGCCGCATGGGCGGGGGCTCGGCCAGCGGCTCCTTGCAGCAAGAGTCCGCATCTGGGGCTGAGGACGTGGTGTTGCGGTAAGGATAGACAGGGATGCCTTTGAACTTGACGTCAGGGTAGCTAAAACTGCTGCCCACATTTGACTTGAGCCGCTGGCCATCCCGCCGGCTGGGAGGTGCACGGTCAGGGCTGGGAGGCACGCCGTTGTGTTCCTTGGCCCAGCTGGCTTCGGCAGGCCCCTCCGTGGAGTCCCCAGCAGGTAAACAGGGACTGCAGCCCCGCACACAGGCTCCCCAGCGCTGGAGGCAGTCCCGGCAGCGGCGGAAACAGAAGGCAGCACGGCACCAGTCCCACACCCAGGGTCGCCAGAGCAGGCAGCAGGCAGGGGGTTCGGCACCTGGCTCATTTGAGCTAGAGATGAAGGTGACATTTTCGGGGCCATAGTGGCCTGGGTCCTTGGGGTCTGGCCTGTGAGTTCGGTGGCTCGGTGAAGGTTGGGCTGGCTTATCGTATGTCTCCAGACATAGCTCTGTGGCTTGTTCCCAGGGTCCCAAACGTGGTGGCCCAGATGACGGGCGGGGGTGTCTGGGGCCGGGCATGGCTCATCGCATGGTTTGTTATAGCCAGGCACCTACAGGGGACAAACCGGGAAGCAGTCAGGTACAGAGGCTGGGGATAAGCTGGCCTGATCTGAGGAGCTTAAATGCTCCATTTATTGGTTTACTCCTCAAATGCCTGCAACAGCCAAGCACTGGTCAGGCTGAAGCCAGGAGCTGAGTCTATCATGGGTGACACACATTTGACCACTCAAACCATCACCTGCTGCCTTTGAGGGTGTCCGGTAACAGCAGCCGGAACCAGGAACACAGCCAGGACTTTGGTGTAGGCACACTGTCCACTGAGGCAGGCAGGCTTCCCAGGTGAAGTCGCAAACAGTTCAATCAGTCATTCAACTGAGCTGTTGTTTTTTTTTTAATGTAAACTATTTTCAAAAAGATGTTATTGGGACCAACACGGTGGTGTACAGCAGGCTAAGCCATTACCTATTTCACTGGGTTCTCATATGGGCGCTGGTTTGAGTCCCAATTGCTCCACTTCTGATCCAGTGCTCTGCTTATGATCTGGGAAAGCAGTGGAGAATGACCCAAGCCCTGCACCCACATGTAAGATTTTGAAAGAAGGGCCCGGCGTGATGGCGCAGTGGTTAAGGTTCTCGCATGCTTGTGATCCCATATGGGCGCCGGTTCTAATCCCGGCGACCCCACTTCCCATCCAGTTCCCTGCCTGTGGACTGGGAAGGCAGTTGAAGATGGCCCAAAGCCTTGGGACCCTGCACCCGCGTGGGAGACCTGGAAGAGCTCCTGGCTCCTGGCTTCGGATTGACTCAGCTCTAGCCATTGTGGCCGCTTGGGGAGTGAACCATCAGATGGAAGATCTTCCTGTCTCTCCTCCTGTCTGTATATCTGCCTTTCAATAAAAATAAATAATTCTTTAAAGATAAATAAATAAATCTTTTTAAAAATGTATTTATTTGGAAGGAAGAGCTAAGGAGCAAGAGTGAGGGAGAGACAGATTTTTCATCAGCTGGTTTACTTCCCCAATTGGCCCCAATGTCAGGGCAGGGCCAGGCTGAAGCCAGAGCCTCCTCCAGGGCTTCCACATGGGTGCAGAGACCCAAGGACTTGAGTCATCCTTAACTACTTTCCCAGGAGCATTAGCAGGAAGCTGGTTTGGAAGCGGAGCAGCCGGGACGTGAGCCAGCTTTACCCACTGTGCTCCTGGTTTCTGAGACTTGTGACGTTGGAGAACCCAAGCAGGCCCATAAACGCTCATCTATGTGTCCTTTATTTCCCCGAAGAAAGCAGGTCAAATGTCAAAACCTCCTGAGATTTCACCCCCCTGGGACGGTATTAGAAACAAACAGAGGCAGAGTTGTGGCAAAGCAGGTTAAAAGTGCTGCCTGTGGGGCCAGTGCTGGGATATAGGGGTAAAAACACAGGGTGGGCATCCTATACTGGTGACGACCGGAGTGTCAGCTGCTCCACTTCTGACCCAGCTTCCTGTTGATACAACTGAGAAAGCAGTGGAAGTTGGCCTATGTGCTGGCGCTTCTGTACCCACATGGTAGACCTGACCTGGAAGAAGGCCCAGGCGAGAGTGGCCATTTGGGGAAAGTACCAGCAAATATAAAATCTCTGTCTCCCCTCACCCCCATCTTTGGAACTGTACAAGATGGAAGCCAGGAGCCCGGTGCAATAGCCTAGTGGTTAAAGTCCTCAACTTGCATGAGCCAGGATCCCATATGGGCATTGGTTCTAATCCCGGCAGCCCTGCTTCCACCAGTTCCCTGCTTGTGGCCTGGGAAAGTGGTCGAGGATGGCCCAAAGCCTTGGGACCCTGCACCCATGTGGGAGACCTGAAGAGGCTCCTGGCTTTGGATCGGCTCAGTTCCAGCTGTTGTGGCTACTTGGGGAATAAATCAGCAGATGGAAGATCTTCCTCTCTGTCTCTTCTCCTCTTTGTATATCTGACTTTCCAATAAAAATAAGTCTTTAAAGAAAAAAAGCTAGAAGCCAGGAGCCTGGAACTGGTTGGAACTCCATATGGGATGCATGCATTGCAGTAGCAAGCTGAACCAATGTACTACACAATACCAGCTCCTACAAGGGTTCTTTAATCCTACAACTCTCAACTCATCCCCTGGTTCTACTCACTTCTCCAAGGACCCCCAGGACCTCCGTGCATTGGGAGTTGCTCTGCTGCCACCTGCAGCTTTGGCTGGAAACGCCTACACTGGCAGTCCTGAGCTCAGTCTATCTCCCCAGGCCTGCGAGCCTGCTAGGGGTGGGAGGGTGGGAACAGCGGGTGCTAGACCTAGCGGTAGAACCTTGAGTCTGGCTGACAAAGGAGGGGCAGCTGGGTGTTCTAGCAAACAGCAGAAAGCAGCAGGGTGGGAGGAGGGAGGGGCGGGAATCCCATCTCCAAAGATGTGGGAAAGCCCAAGTGCACAAGGGGCTCCCAGAACCCAAGACCCAGTGGTGGTCAGAAACCTCAGCAGTGGGTTGAGCAGTGTACGACTGGACAGACACCAATTTATGCAATCAACAAATATTCCCTGAAGATCTACTATACACTGGATGGCTGCAGTGGTAAACAAAATTCCCCACCCTCAGGAATGGAAAATCCACTCACAGAGCTGACTACTCGCGTTATGCTGTGTGCCTTGGAGGTAATAAACAACTCTCTCAGTGCTCCCCTACCACAAAGCACACACAGCCTTACAGAAGTTGCCGAAAGCCGCACATCTGTTTGAACCCTATCAGCCTGGCCCCACGTCTCTGCCAACCCTTCCACATCTCCAGAGAAGCCTCTGATCTGCTACACAGAGCTGCCCGTTCCTTGTGACGAGAGGGGCAGTCAAAAGCACCCATTCACAGCTCCATGGAAAGCTCACGGCCAAGAAGGACGTTTGCCCTGCTCAGGAGCCCCAGGCCTTCCAGGCTCAGACCTCGAGATCACAGCAGTGGGTGCCACTGCCCATCCAACTGCACGGAGTTGGGAAGCTCCAGGACTTTGCAGGAATCTCCTTCCCTAGCTCCAAAAGTCCCCCAAGATGCCAGCTATTCAGTGCACTGTCCCAGCAGGAGAAGGGGGTAGGCCTTGGGTCAATTGCACAATATACCAGAGTGCTATCCTGTGGATATAGCAGCTGATGCTTCAATGGGGAGGGTCGCTGACACCTACCCAGGAGACACAGATTGAGTTACAGGGTTCCCTCAGCCTCTGGGGCCCACCTGCTTCTCTCTGGGCCACGCACCCTCCAATGCACATAGGATGGGGTGTCTGAAGGCCAGTGCTCCACCGGGGTTCCCATCACCCTCTGGCCTCTGAAACCTCCCAACCTATTAAACTCTAGCTGAATCCTTTGCTTGTGCCCCCCATCCCTCTTCCAAAATCCTACCAAGGCACGCTTGAAGGTGGAAGGGAGGATCCGGCCCCGTCGTGGCCGGAGGCGAGTTCTTAGCTGCAGCTTCCTTTAGAAAGTGATGCCTTCTGGGCCCCCAGGGAGGTTTAAGTGAGACGTCCCATGAAGCGGGTTTGGCGGCTGGATGGCTCGGCCCTCCTTCGCCCTGCTGGGGCCTTCCGCGAGCCCGACGAGGTCCCCTTCCCTTTCGGTTCCCGCGCGCAAGCACTCTTTCCAGGGGTCTGCCTCGGGACCGCTTCTTCCACCCAGTGGTCCCAGGGACGGGCTCCGCCGCCCCAGCCTTTGCTCCAGGTCCGTGCCCAGCCCTGCTCACCAAACAGCCGTGGGCTGGGGCTTGGGGCATCTATGCACTCCGAAGGCGTAGACGAAGACTCACCCCTCGGCAGAGGACCCAGACCCCCGTGCCGCTCCCGGGCACAGGTACTGCGCTCCGGGCGGGCGCCAGCCTCTCCAGCCGCCGGGCCCTCGGCCGCCAGCCGCCCGACGCCGTTCCTCGGGGTGAGCCCGGGCCGACCGTGCCCTGTACCCAGGGACGACCACGATCTTTCTTACCCCACCGTGCGACCGCCCAGCCAGGGGAGCCTGCTCAGGCCGCTCCTCGGCCGGGCCTGCGCGCACCCCGGAAGTGGGAGGGTGGGTCCCGAGGAGCCGGGCCCCGGACCCTCCCCCGTCCGGGTGCAGGCTCGGCGGACGCTCCCCACTGACGACGCCAGGGTTCGCGTCCCCTTGGGTCCACGCGGGGCTTACCTGTTCCTCCAGGTGAACCGCCGGCAGCTCAGCCCCTCCCCCGCCCCCCTCGCCGCTCACCTGGGGCGCAGGTGAGCGTCTCGCGGGAGCGCGGCACGGGCCGCCGCTGGGGACACACTTCCTGTCTCCGCGAAGCGCCGCCTCACCGCGCACCTGGGCCGAGGCTCCACCCCTCTGGGGCGTGCCCCGCGTCTTGAGTTGGGGTGCCCGGGCCGTCTGGCCTTGTCTGCCCAGTGAGTCCAGGCGGAGAATGGCAGGCAAGGGCCGGGCTCCGAATCCTGGGAAGCCTTCCCTGATACCCGTCTCCCAGTCACCCCCAGCTCCCCTTTCAGCACACACACCACCTGGTTTATCCTAATACCCTCCACACTGCTTTCTTCTGTCCCCTCTGGTAGCCTCTGGCCTTGAGGATTGCTCTAGTCCTGCTGCCTGTATTCCTAATGCCCACACACAGGGCCTGGCACAAACAAGGAACGTGTGTGAATGGCTGTGCTCCAAGCCCTGGCTTTGCCCTAGGGTCAGTTCATCTTGTCACTTGCTAGGGAAATCCACAGGTTCGGGCAGGTCTCTCAGCTGGAGGAGTGGGCAGTGCCACCCTGAGAAACACTTTCCAGACCAGCGGGGGTGGGGGAGGCGATGAAAAGAGGCCATGAAGAAGGTGGTCTGGCAGGATGGCAAGGAGTCAGGGCTCAGGCAGTCTGGGGTCCCTGCTCCCCTGCGTGGGAAGCTCCAGGGTGCACACTGAGCTCCTGACTTGCCTGATGTTAGCTGATCTTTCTGCTGCTCTGTGAACAGTGGGTGAACTGGCCCTGCCTGGTTTGCCCTCGACCTGCACCAAATGTATGCCGCTGGGCACCGTTCCCTGGCCTGGTCTCGGCTGCTCTGTATTGTGGTTCTTGTGCTCACCTGTATGGACTGTGTCCCGACAGAGGTGTTTCCCAGGCTCCTCCATCGGAACCTCTCCCAGTGCCAGATCCTGCGCTCATGGCTGGGTCCACGGACCAGCTCTACTCAGTCCACCTCCTGACCTAGCAGGAACAGACATTATTTTTTTTTTTAAAGGTTTATTTTTATTATTTTTTTTATTGGAAAGGCGGATATACAGAGAGGAGAGACAGAGAGGAAGATCTTCCGTCCGATGATTCACTCCCCAAGTGAGCGCAACGGGTCGATACTATGCCGATCCGAAGCCAGGAGCCTCTTCCGGGTCTCCCACGCGGGTGCAGGTTCCCAAAGCTTTGGGCCGTCCTCGACTGCTTTCCCAGGTCACAGGCAGGGAGCTGGAAGGGAAGCGGGGCTGCCGGGATTAGAACCGGCGCCCATATGGGATCCCGGGCGTGCAAGGCGAGGACCTTTAACCACTTGCGCCACCGCACCGGGCCCCAGACATTATTTTTTATTATCATTTTATGATATATTCCATAGGCCTTGGGATTTCCCTTACCTCCACCTCAAGTCCCCCCTCCTCCCTGAGTTTTCCTATATTATTACTATGGTATAGTTCTTCATAAATCGTCATATGTCCATCATTGCGGGCATGGACAATGGCAGAGAGTCCAGAATCCTATTGTCAAGATATAATTAATAGTTTCATTGGGAGTCCATCTTTGGAAGTAGAGATGCATACTGCATTGTATCCTCACATCCGGATATGATAGTTTTCATTACACAGTTACTATACATCCCCTAAAATGAAGACCCACAATACAAAATAAACTAGAAATTTACAATGCCATGAAGTTCTGAAGAGGTTTTGATAGTTCAACAGTCCTGAATTACTGTCAATCCCGCCACTCCAATTGCGATGAAATCTCTTCTGGGTCTCCTGGACAGGTGCAGAGGCCCAGGGACTTCCTTCCAGGCACATTAGTAAGGAGATGGATTGGCAGTGAACAAGTCTCCAGCACCCATACAGGATGCCAGTACTACAGCTGGTGGCTTAACCCACTATGCCATAATGCCAGCTCCCCAACTTTTTTGAGATTTGTTAGTTTATTTGAACATCAGGGCGACAGTGAGAAAGACTGAGAGACTAGTTGAGGATGAAATAGCTAAGGCAAACCACAGCTGCACCATGGATGACCCCCAGGATGCTGGTTAGTAGCTCACCGCCTTCAGTCTTGGGGCTGTGGAGGGTCGGTGGGGCAGTGGAATGTGGACTGCTGTGTAAAACTGGCTTCAACCTGTCTGCCTCTTTCCCTTCTGTGGGGACCTGGCTTGCTGGGTGTACTTCTCCTAAAATGGCACTAGGGGGCAGCACAAGCAGCAGAAATTGCCGGAATCTCCATTACTGGGTTGGAATCCTAGAAACAACCCTATTTATAACCTTTGAACCTCAGTATTTGTCACGGAAGATGGGCTTAATGTGGGGGCAGACTAACATAGAGGTTTAGAATGTGAACTCTATTGCCTAATTCTGCCCTTAGAAACACTGAGATCCCATATGGGCACTGGTTCCCGTTCTGGCTGCTTTACTTCTCATCCCTGCTTATGGCCTGCGGAAAACAGTAGAGCCTTGGGACCCTGCACCTGCTTGGGAAACGCAGAAGCTCTTGGCTCCTGGCTTCGGATTGGCTCAGCTCTGGCTCTCTGCTCATTCTCTTGGCTGTGTGTGCCGTCAGTTGGGGCTCCCATCTGGCCTCTGCTGCTTATTGTTTTTGCAAGCTGGGCTGCTGACTCCCAGACCTGGGCTTCAATTTCCATGCCAGTGACATCCATAAACCTAGTTAGCCCTTCTCCTGTCGACACTCCCACTCCCACACCCTGCTGCTGTCACTCTCAGACACACACAGTCCTGGATACACATGGCCCAAGCTGACACCCCCTGCTTACTTCTGGGGAGCAACAGGCTACTCCAGCCACACACAAACTTTCTTCTGCAATCTCACTTGCTCTCTGAAGCTCACTCTGGGAGCCCCAGCTAGCCAGCCCCTGCTTGGGCTGCCTCACAAAGCTGTCTCCCTCATCCTTTTCCCAGTTCCAGAAGGAAGTGCCCAGAGGGTCTGATTAAGGTCTGGGAGACCCCAGCACTAACCCAGGGCACTGACCCAGGGCAACCCCCAAGGCTAGGGCATGACTGTTTTCTTGGCTCCTTCCACTTTCTTGGAGCCAGGGCTACCACCTTCACCCCCTCAACCACCTACGAGACAGAAAGGACCCCTGCAGTCAAGTTCAACACCTAGGAGCTGTGCGGGGTTCCAACTGGCCCAGCGGCTCCCCCTTCCTTCTGTGTCTGTCCCTCATTCAGAGTCTGACCAGTCCTCTTTGGGGTGGGCAGCTGAGACTAGCCCCTGCACACTCAGCGCCTCTGCCTGCTCTCAACTGCCCATTGGCCAACACAAGTTGTGTAGCCACATCTGGATTGAGCTTGGGAGGGAACCACACCAGAATAAACCCTACCCCAGTGGTGTGACACTGAGCACAGCCCAGGGGCCACTCGGGTAGTATAGGAAGTGAAGCTGCCACCTGCCATGCCATGCCATGCCATGCCATGCCATGCCATAGTGCTGGTTTGAGTCTCAGATGGTCTGCTTGCTAATGCTTGGGGTCCCTGCACCCAAGTGGGAGACCTGGTGGAGCTCCAGACTGCTAGATCCAAGACTTTAAATCAGGACTGTTGGGCTCGGTATGGTAGCCAAAGTCCTTGCTAAAGCTAAGCTAAAGTCCTTGCCTTGCATGCAGAGGGATCCCATGTGGGTACTGGTTCTAATCCTGGTGGCCCCGCTTCCCATTCAGCTTCCTGCTTGCGGCCTGGGGAAGCAGTTGAGGACGGCCCAAAGCCTTGGGACCCTGCACCCATGTGGGATACCCAAAGGAGGCTCCCCGCTCCTGGCTTCAGAATGGCTCAGCTCTGCCATTGGTGGCCTCTTGAGGAGTGAATCAGTAGATGGAAGATCTTCCTCTCTGTCTCTCCTCCTCTTTGTATATCTGTCTAATAAAAATAAATAAATCTTTTAAAAAATAAGGACTGTTGCCATTTGCAGAGTGAACCAGTAGATATTTGGAGAATGAACCAGTGAATGGAAGATCTCTGTCTCTCTTTCCGTTTCTCCTACTCAGTCACTCTGTTAAATAAATGGGTCTTCAAAATACAGCTCAGGGCCTGAAATGGTAGCCTAGTGAAATCCTCGCCTTGCATGCGCCAGGATCCCACACGGGCCCCAGTTTGTTTCCTGGCTGCTCCACTTCCCATCCACCTCCCTGCTCATAGCCTGGGAAAGCATCAGATGGTGGCCCAAAGCCTTGGACTCCTGAACCCATATGAGAGACCCGTAGAAGTTTCTGGCTCCTGGCTTTGGATTGGCTCAGCTCTGGCCATTGTGGTCATCTGGGGAATGAAGCAGTGACTGGAGGATCATTTTTTCTGTCTCTCCTTCTTTTTGTAAATCTGATCTGCCTTTCCAATAGAAAGAAATAAATCTTTAAACAAACAAAAACGAAATTACAAAACAAAAAACTCAGCAGTGGCTTGCTTGAGGTAGTTGATGAAAATGAAGGATACAGGGGGCTGGCTTGTGGGCATCAGGGCTGTGGAGTGCTATCCTGTCCCAGGATCTCCCAAATTTGGGCAGCCTGAGGAGCACTGTGCCCAGAGGTAGCCAATACCCACCTGCCAGGCCTAGAATGGGGGTGTGAGAGTGAGGCCAACGAGAATGGATCAGTAAGGATAAAGAACAGAGGCAGTCTCCTGGAGCCCCTGGGGAGGGCCAGGGAGGACTGGCTTCAGGGATCCCGCAGTGGATACCCAGAGAAGCCACTACCATGGCTTGATGCCACTCAAGTCCTGGGCAGGGATTCTGGGAGTGCTTCCTGGTGGAGGAGTGTTAGAACAAATAGTTCCTGGCCAGACAAGAGGATGGAGCTGGAGCAGGGAGGAACAAACTGCCATCTGGCCTTGGATCTAAAGAGGTAAAGTAGCCTCGTGATGGCCATTTTCCCATTTCACGGATGAGCAAACCGAGGCTCATCTGAACAGTAGTGCATCCCAAATCCAACTCATCATATCTTGGGTTTCTTTTCACCTGTCCAATCCTCAGTGAACTTCCAGGAAGTTTAGAG